TCTGTCTCTCTCTCTCTCTCTCTCTCTCTCTCTCTCTCTCTCTCTCTGTCTCTCTATTCCAACAGGGTACCATGCATTTCCTAGATATCTCAATATCTCAATCCACCTCCTCTATAGGATGCCTCTCCCAAGCTTTTAGGCTGTTATACCTGCATCTTCTTTTGTCGTTAGCCTTAAGGGTGGCAACAACATTGTGTCACCTTTTTACAATTGCGCTCTTCCTATGCCTGTTTAGCTGATTTCTTATATTAAATGCTTCCTGTTAAAATAACTGGGAGGGTGCCTATTTTTCTGACTAGCTCTGACTGATACAAAGATGGCTTTACTGTCTGGTGTTGCCCCCAATCACCACCTCCTAATGAGGAGCTGGGCACATCCAAGGCCAAATATTCGTAAGTGAAAAAGGTCAGCCACAAGTGAGAGATGATGATTGTTAAACCTGAAGATCCGTTCTTCTGAGAGGCTTACAGTCTGCCCATTCCCAGTCTCCACTATATAGTATCTTTTCCAAGGTTAGCAGAATTATAAAAACATCAATTTCACCATTATTGACTTTTCAACTGGGATACCAAGAAACTGTTTCAGCAGCCTCAATAAATTAAATCTAGCCCCCCAGCTCCCAGACTGGCAGGCTCCTACATCATTGACAGAGAAGACAGGGAAAGCAGTTTTCCCAGATGTTGCTGTAAATGATGTGCATTGTGCTCATAGCCATTAGCAGGTGGAGAATTTGAAGTGTGGGTAGATTGAAGGGCTCCCTCTTTTAAAAATGCATAAGCACTTTGTGAGTTTGCTAAGTCATGTTTCACTCAGCTGTGCTTGAATTTTTCATAGGGTAGAAGTATTCTGTAGGCTTTCCTCTTTTACTTCACATCAGCTGGATACCACAGTGAAGGCTTTTGTAGAAGGGGGCCACATCCAATACAGGATTTGCCTGACTGGTCCTCAATTCTTCCAAGTTGTAAAATGTTCAAACAGTTTGGGTTTTAAGGTCTTAGGGCAACTGAGTTTCCTGCCATCTCCATTTAATCTAGAATATAAAATGCCTCTCTTCTGAACTTATTTACCTTATGTATTTTTAGGTAATTTTCTATCCTGAAGGATTTATCCACTTGTGAAATTTTAGGCACTGGACTGCAAAGACGCAGTGCTTCCCACAACATGCCCTGCTTATACTCTGTGAGCCAGGACTTGTATGGCCTTGTAGTTACTTCTAATTCCCACAGCATTCAGAGATTACTCAGTACGCAGTATGATTTTTCTAATGTGCCCAGCTGTACCATCAGTGTGCTAGTTAACATAGCTCCATTCATAGCTGAACATTGGTTAGGGAGTATTTTAAGGAAGACATAATAATATCTGGTGAGCACTTGATCTGTTTTCTTTGTGCAGAATAGTATCTGCATGATAGTGTTCATAGTAGGACCGATATATTTAAATAAATTCAATAATTATTGTGTTCTATAAACTATGAAATAACCTTTATATTTACCATTTCATTTAATTTTCTTAAGACATTGCGAAGAAGAAACTTTCTTTAGATGAGACAGTGGTCTCAGAGAAGTAAGGTAATTTATCCGAAGTCTCCAGCTGACAGTTTATGAGGCTTAACTCTAGAGCCTGAAATCTCTTCTGCCATGTTGTCAATTTGATATAATTCAGTATATGTATTGCATCTTTCATTCATTCATCAATCATTTATCAAGCCCATGTTATGTGCCAGCAACCAAAATGTTATAATATCCAACAAACTTAACAGCTTATTCAAAAATAAGGTGGAGCTATTAGAATTTTTGATCAACAACTAGTTAATAATTCCCTCCAAAGGCAATAGATTTTCTGCTTTCTTTAATATCAATAAATCAGCCTTTTCTTAGACTGAAATGGTTTTCCACCTACATCTGGCTAATCAATTGTAACCTATTTTCTCCCCAAATGGAGAGAATTGTTCCAGCCAGTATCAAAACCTCAGCAAATTGGGAACAAAAGTTTGTTGCAGTTTATGAGTCACAAAAATATTTTGTTTGCCATAGTTGGAAGGATTCTAGAATACCCCGGGTTATACAACTGACCTTTCGTAGGTCTTTCCCACATTCGGGACCTGTGAACACGTCTCAATTGGGACTGCAAGGCCAAAGAGTCTCGTGGTACTTACATCACTTTTATGTTCTATTTAAAGACCTCTTTGCTTATGGTTAAGTTCTAGGGAAGAGTGTAGTCAGGCTGGCACTTCTTCCAAAAAAGAAATGTGTTGCTTTGCTTCTCTTCTTGATTATTTTGCAGATTTCACAAAGACTTTTCAAATAATGCTATATCTGTGCTGCATTAATATCATTCTTTTCCTTGCTTTCAAAATAATGTAAGACTTCAAAAAAAAAATCTTATGAATTATCTTGCCAAAATGGTAAGACATTTAAATTTACTCATAAAACATTGAAACATGTAGTAATATGCCAGACTACACTAAAATAAAGTCATTTGATTTCACTTTAATTGTGATAGTGCCTAAAGTAAATAGAAAATAATACTTCCATTTGCCTAGAAGCTGTAGGATTCCCACTGACACTTGAATACATGATCACCCAGCAGTCCAGAGAGGAGATAGCTGCAGCATGGCCAGGTTCCTGGCAAGGTACACAGTGGAAGGCTGCATGCAGTTTACTGTATGAATACACAGAGATCCTTCACACAATGGTGCTTCAATTATTAAAATGACTTCTAAAGAAGACTCAGGTTTTTTCTAGTATCCATTGAATGGAATGACTTCCATTGGGAAGGTAACTCTTGAGAAGAAACCTACAAGGCTTGCATTTCTATTAACTCAGCAGAGTTTGTGACCAAAATATTTTATAATCTTGCTTTAAGGTAATAGGTTGGTATGTCCCAGAATAAATACTTGTGGGTTTTTTTTTTTTCTTTCTCTTTTCTGTGATTCCCCTATTCTTTTTTTAATGCTATATTCTAGCTCTGCTCTGATGGTGATTACTGTTCTTAAACCTAATTCATTGAAATCATTTCTCAGTTGAGTCACATTAGCACAGGGATGGCCAAGTTCTGGCTACTGAAGGTGAGAAATGATCTCAAATCCACACTGGCAGACAGAAGCCATTCTCCACTGCTGGTATTTTCAGTCACCAGCTGGCCCATGTTGAGCAGCTTCTCTGTTGCATGAAAGATTTTTACTGTATTTGTAATAGTCTGAGAGAACTAGGACATTTCTGCTGTTGCAGTTGCTTTCAGCTAATTGGATTGTTGCATTTAATTTAATGGCTATATAAACACAACAATTACTCAGCCACATTTTAGAAAGCAACTTTAAACTCGGGATAAGTTAGAGATAGCTCAGGACCTGTGATTCACAAAAGCTGTTTCTTTACTTCCTCTGGAAAAATGCATCAAGATAAGTTGCTTTAATTTTTTTTTTCAATCATCTAGCCTTGTAAACAGGTATTATACAAGAAGAATGGGCATAGCTTTCCTAATAGTTTCCATTCCAAGTTTCTTGTACTTTGACCATATTAGAAATGGGAATAAAATCTGATCCTGTTATAATGTGACCTATTATTTTTGAAAGTTAGACATAGTGAAAATCAACTAGGTTTCCTTTAAAACATATAGAGACACTACATTATTATTTCCTTTAGTATTAGTAGCACAAAAAGAATTACTTTTTAAAATATTTTTCATTTAAGCAGACTGTAGTTCTTCAGAGGGTAGAAAGCTGGGGGCAAAGACTTATGTTTAGAAATTTCTTTTGCAGCATGTTTGTGGATTTTTTCTAATTCATGGAGCCACCAACTGTGTATATGAAAAATTGTTCTGTCTCCAAATTAATGAGTGCAAGTTTATGAGTCAAGACTTACAAAAATGGAGAGTAGAGGATTCTCAGTGGCTTAAAAGTAACAGATCATAGTGGATCTGGATCATATAGTGGATTTAGTGGATCATATAGTTTTAAAGACTACTAACAAGAATAGATCCAGGTGTGGCTGGATCCAAGTAATTAAAAGTGCATTCTTTATTCAAATTCTATGTTGCTCCTTCAGGTATTTCCTGGGATGACAAGGAATACTTTATTATACCTACTTTAGGGAGCTTACGGTCTGGTAGCTGAGATGTATAAGATTAAAAAAGAGAGAAAGAGAATTACAATGTGTAATCATAGAGGCTCTTACAAAGTATAATCATAACTATGGGGAAGAAAAGAGAAGATAAAGCTTCAACATTGTTTTCAAGGAGAAGCAAGGATTTTGCAGACAGGCAAATTAAAGACAAAATAGTGAATTGCCTGGTTGTGACATCAGGAGACCTGTGTTTAAATCCCAGCTCTGCCACTTACCAGTCCTGTGAACTGCAGCAAGTTTCTTAGATTCTTGGTGGATTTAGTTTCCATGCATGGAAATTAGAAGAACTATTGAGTTTATAGAATTACGAGGATCAATGAGAGCACAGATCTTAGATGGGACTCAGGCAAGCAATTCTTCCTCCACTGGCCCTGTCATTCCGCACATAGGGCCTCCTTGCTGTTGTACCTGACTACTGTCACATGCAGATTTGGATTAGGGTTTAACTTCAGCCATGGTGAAGCTGGCTAGCATTTACTGAGTGCTCACTGCGTGTGGCAGAGTATACTTCATTTGACTTGTCTCAACTTCCCCTACAACTGTAGAAGTAGAAATATTATCCACATCTCACTGATGAAGAAACTGGAACTATAAAATTTGGGGGCATCTGCTAAGATAACAAGATTAATACCAGTTGGGTGTGTCTGGCTAGGGTATCTGTGGGTTTCAGCACTGTACTACTATTTATGCTGTACATCACACTGTTATACTCCTCCTGTCCTCTAGGACTTGGCTTCTGGGTGCTGCTGAACACCCTGTGTTCAACCTGCTGCTTCTAAAAGCCTAGTTGTGTGATGCTTAAGCCTGTGTTTGTTGCTGCACTGCTGCTGCAAGCTGAGCTGCTGCTAATCCCCTGGCTCTGTGCTTCCCCTGCAGGTGAGCCTTCCAGGTGGTCATCCTCCCATTGTGACTGCTGCTGCAAGAATGGCAAGGGTGACAAAGAAGGGGAGAGCGGCACATCTTGCAATGACCTCTCCACCTCCAGCTGTGACAGCCAGTCTGAGGCCAGCTCTCCCCAGGAGACGGTCATCTGTGGGCCCGTGACACGCCAGACAAACATCCAGACTCTGGACCGTCCCATCAAGAAGGGCCCGGTTCAGCTGATCCAGCAGTCGGAGATGCGGCGGAAAAGTGACCTGCTCCGGACTCTGACCTCAGGCTCTAGGGAGTCGAACATGAGCAGCAAAAAAAAGGCTGTTAAGGAAAAGCTCTCCATTGAGGAAGAGCTGGAGAAATGTATCCAGGATTTCCTAAAGATCAAAATTCCAGATCGGTTTCCCGAGAGAAAACACCCTTGGCAATCTGAACTCTTACGGAAGTATCATCTATAGGGGAGGGCTGGGGGTGGGAGACGAAAAACAAAAATGAAAACAAAATCAAGTTACCATTTTGAAATAAACCTCCTCAAAGAAATTGATGTTTTAAAGGAAAAACGATACACATTTGTTAGAACACAATAGTCCATTGATATACACTACTGCCTACTTTTACCTAGTTCACCTTAACATGTAAATCCACAGGGTAGATTTCTTTCCAGATGTGGAAATACAAGAAAAAAACTTTCTGTTGTTGTTTGTTAACTTGGTCCCATGTGCTGAGTATCTTCTATACAATGATAACCAGCTACCTGAGCGTAGCTGACAGATCTGGGGAGTCATTTATCCCAAAATGGGCTTTTTCTCTCATTTTCTACCTCCCTCCCTTGAACAAGGATATGTGGTAGAAACAGATCTGGCCAAATGGCATAGGGTTAGTTTTTATTATTATTCTTTTCCTTTTCTGTTGTTTATGGGGCATGGGGGGGGTGGCAGATTTATATGATTTTTCACTTAAATCTATATGTGCCAGTTTATATCGACTCCATATGCATGATTATTTGTGCAACACAAGCACAACCAAGTCTGTATATACACACAGTGCACATGACCCAGGGCTTGGACATCCTAAGGGCCGCGCTCCTGTTGCCAGCAGCCCTTCCTGGAGCCCTTTCAACAGATGAGCCTCTGCCTGTTTCTCGAAACGCTCGCTCGTGGGCAGATTTCCCAGCCACTCTTGGCAACACTTTCTAACATCCGATAACCCTCATCATCGACAAATTGTCTTCCTCATTTTAAAATTAATACCCTCAGGCTCCATTTTATGACTTTGCTCTTTCTCTGCATTAGGAGAGGTTGAGAAGAGCTAGTCAGATATCCTTTGTGTAATACAAACAAACATTTATATTCATAAAAGTAACTACTGGATGAGTTGAATCATCACCCTTCACCCAATGTTTCAGAACTCTTACATTTTACTGGTGTGGCCTTTCTACACAATTCACACAAAGTCCTCTGTATGTCTGTGTGGTTGTGGAGCACACATACCATATTTGAATAAAAGTAGAGCCTTTGTTTTAGAAGAATTGCATTCCACACACCTCCTAATAATTTCTCATAAAAATTTTAAATTATGATGCTAAATTACTACTTGCTTTTAGCCAGTTTCGGTTTGCCTTCCGGATTCTGGTATTTGGCTGTGTCCATATTCAGATTTTGTTGTGTCATTTATATGACATCCATAACAATCCAGCTAGGTAACTGGAGCTCCAAAGTTAAGGTTTCAGCTTTGTAAACTATCTTTTCAATCATATCCTGGACTGTATGGATACAGCCAAAATGAAAATGTTAATAGCCATCAATTCTTGTGACTTTATATTTTATTAATGCACCAGTAGCTAGTTCTTTTGTAGACTTGTGCTAAATGCAGGTTAAAATACCAGTTTTAATTTTTAGCATTCCTCATGCATTTCAGTGGACGCTGAAAAAATAATTTGTCAATTATTGATTATGTGCCAAGTACTGACAGTTTTTTGTTGTCTGTATCTGTGTGTGTGTGTGTGTGTGTGTGTGTGTGTGTGTGTGTGTGTGTGTGTATGTGTGTGTGTGTGCATACATCACAGGTAATAAAGGCAATTGGATAATGGCTCCAAGAGGAAGACCTAGTGATTACTTTTCTTCTTTTTGAAACTTTTACTGATACACATTTACTATGTAAAAGCTTTGTATGAATTTCTGTCATTAGTGCTCATCATCACTGTATGAATATCTTTCTAAGTTTTTTAATTCATGCCTTCACACCTGGGCAATACACTCAGGCAAAATTTCTTGTCCTAGTGATTCAAATGGAATTTAAAATTTCTCCTAAGTTAAAAAAGGAATTTATTTTAGGAGTTGTCAAGAGAATTCATAATTTATATATTTAAGTGTTCTTTTATGTATTGATATATTAGCAGATATTTGATTTTAACTACAACATAGCTTTGCTTGTAAAACTTATGTATATGTCTTCAATGTGTCTTATGATATATCAAAATAACTTCATGTTAGTAACAGAAAATTTTGCAAAGAATCACAGAGCTCAATGAGTTTTGAAGAAATTGAATTTAAAACTTAAATTGATTAAATAATTGTTGTAGTTTCATTGGAAGGGCTTTCAAAGAATTTTGTGTTTAAGTAAATTGACCAAAGCCCCAACTTCCTTAAATTTCATACATACGTATGATAGGGTCAAAATAGAGACACACACAGGTAAGAACTGAAAAACTGAGTTGGCAGTCAACCCACTTTTTCTATGGTATACATCAAGCAGGAAATACTTGACAAAAAGGTGTTCATTGCATTCTAATCCTCCAGCTCCTGGGCTGTTGTAATTTATTTATTTATTTATTTATTTATTTATTTATTTATTTATTTATTTATTTATGTTTTGTCTTTTTCGTTTTTATCGGTACCAGGGATGGAACTCACGATTGCCTGCTTGCAGGGCAGGCGCTTATGCCGCTGATAAATCCCCAGCCCCTGCTGTAATTTATTTGTGTGTGCAGGTATTCTTCATATACCCTGTACACAAAAGTAGTAGCATAAAATCTTTTAAAGCAACCGCAGCACACTTTTATTCTTAGCTGAGTCTAGACTGGCACACTCCCTTTTGTAAAAGTTCTAATACTTAAGAGGAAAACATGCCATTCATTTGTACGGGTGTTGAATAGAGATGAGTATCAGCTGGGTCAGTGTGAGACTCTGAGGACGCTCTGAGTTATCTGCTGTGGTCTAAGTTGGCTGCAGCAGTGGAAGTGAGTTCTGGCTATTGATTATGAAATTGAGTGCTCTCCTAGCCCACATCGTCAGCCTTCACTGAATTTAAAGCAAGTTTTAGAAGTTTTAGTTCAATCCTGGACAAAATCATATGTATTCTTGAACATTGGTTATGACAAGGGTAGTGAATTGTTGATATGAAGAAAATAGTAGTTATCAGATGGGTCAAAATGAGTGGGGGATTGCATTGTGAAGACCCCATTTAGGTTGGCTCCCAGGAAATTCCACAGTGCTAAAACTAGCGAGCTTGGGAAGGTCATTCCCTAAAGATGTATTGATCCCCTGAATCACATACATATTGATGAAGTTTTCCTACCATGAAATATATATATATATATATATATATATATATAATCTACAGCAGCAGAAAAACAGACAGACACGGATATAAAAACACCAGATCATTTCTTCCTATGCTAAAAAATGACTGTACTGAGATGTGGTCCAAAAAAAACAAAGAAGCAAAGTGCCCTCCAAAATAGTATTCCGTGGTGTCTCCCTTTAAATTATAGGCACAGATACTTTCCTGGAAATGCCTCAGTGACAATTTAAAATAAAAGGGAGGCACAATGCTCTCATTAGCATTTCTTTTGCTCTTTCTGCCTGCACAGTTAAGTCTATTGCAACTGATTCACTTTGGGAGGACACACTGATTAAAGAGGGCTGACACATAGAATTTTTTAGTTGGCCTCCTTTGATTTCCAGGCACCTTTATTCACAGGCACAGGTATGTTTCTCATTCTGGATTATATTGTTACCACTGCTATGCTTCTGGATTACTTTTATTTTCCTAGGCTTTACTTTACATTCCCCTCAATCCCAAGTATCTTTTGTCAGTGCTAAGCGAAACATGCTCCAATGAGAAAAGATGTTTTTGCAAAATCATTTGATACTAGTTGCCACAGTGGGAGTCAAACTTGAATTCTCAAGCATTCTTTTTCTACTGTTTTGATCTTTCAATTTTGTGTCTACTATAAGGGATTAACACAGAACATTTGAGTGCTGGTATTTTCTGCCACCAATCTGGTGGCATTGCTATGGAATTTAAACCTTGACCTTCTAGATGATCTTTATTATAATTAATAAGAGTTTTCTCTGAATTTTTGCCTCCTCCATTTGACATAGCAATTTTCTAAGGAAAAATACATATCCCCCCTGATAACTCTGTGGCAGATAATGTTTTTGCCAATTTGTACGCCATGTTATAGGTTTAGCATGGGCCATATCTCTTTAATATCTTGGTATAGTTAATGACTTGCAATCTTGATGGCCCACTGTTTCAATTTATCTATTTTCTTTTATATTGTCAAAATAACACACTAGAGAATGACTCAAAGTGAGTGTTCTGTATTTTGAGTTACAATCGAGTTAGATGTTGTTTTTACAGCCCTGTATGATGATTAATATCTGCAGAGAAATTAGACCAAATGAAACCTGCTGGAATGGGTTTGATTTATATTCCTTTCATCCTTCTGTTCTTAGAAGAAATGCTTATTGCTCTCCACCCCTGCTGAAAGAGAAGTCTTAAATGTTAATAATCACAATCTTGTAATACAACCACAGCTTATTTGTTTGAAATGCCTGTTTTCCTTATCTTGCCAATGTACACTGGAAGGAAGATTCATTCCCCCATGACCTCATTGCAAACATTTTAGCAGTGATTCACAGCATTCAATATGCACAAAATCATCTAGCATTTTTATTGATGTATTTATTTTCATCTGGCACTTTTTAAAATGATGATTCCCTCACTTTAACTCCAAAGTTCGAGTGAGAGACTGGAATCAGAGTCAAGGAACCTTGATTTTGAAATTGTATTCTTAATGAGTTTAATGGAAATGGAATATTGACCTTTCTTTGAGAAACCACTCTTTGGTGACTCTGGACAGGTCAGTATTTCTATCACTTTCTGATGGTGTTTCCTTACCTCCACTCACTTTCTCTGTATATAAATCAACATGTGCATTATTCATTATATTAAGAAGAAAAGTTCTAAGTAGAACATTGGTAACTAGCGTATGTTAGATTTTATCATGATTCCTTTGCCACTCATCTACTTCTCAGTCACAGTTCTCTCCCCTAACATGTCTGTTTGTGCCCCACTCCTACTCCATCATTATACTTTTATGGCCAGGTAGGTGGTAATTCATTTTTAAGTGAGGTGTACCCTAATGATAGCTAACAAAGAATAAAAATAGTGACCTTCCCCGCGGAGAACTGTTCATTTGTTTACTCATTTTAAGTCTGAGAAACTTGAGAGCGATCCATAATTTATATTGATGTGAACATGGATTGCCTCGTGAATTCAGGTTTATTTTGTCAGTAATATTGACATTATTGTGACATTATGAACCACTGAAATAGTTACTTTTTCCACTTTGAGGTAGAACTATGAGGCTCTCAGATGATGAATTTCTTAAATTCCAACTACAAGTTTGAAGCAAAAATTCATATATGAGAATAAATGTGAAGGAAAGAAGTGGATTCCAGATGATATTATTCCATATGTAATGAAACAAAAGAAAATTAAATTCAAGAACTGTAATTTTCTGGTCATGCTGCCCAGAGGAGATGGCTATGATATGATTATGTAGATTAAAACAAAAACCCTATAAAGCAATAATGATAACCCAGTTGGCCTTGTCCATGTAACAAAGTAACAAGATAGATGCCAGATTCCCACATTACAAGAAATAGAGAATGGATGGTTTAAATAAATAATAATGAATGACTTGTCATGATCATTAGTGAATATTTAATTAAAGATTATTGCCAAAGCAAATTAAGGAATAGTTAATAAAGTAGATGAACTTGTGCATCTAATTAAGATTATTTGGTCAATGAAAAAGAGAAACAAAATTGATTTTGTTACCTTCTCTCCTTTCCTTCCAAAATGTGAGCTCTAACTACCCCAACTTCTTGTCTTTAAAGAATGTTCCTTTTGTTTGTGAACAAATTGTGTTGTTAATTGGGTAATTAATCTTAAGTCCTAGACCCCCATCATTGCTTTATTGTGGGAAATCACTTTTAAAAAGATAAAGTAAAATGTGTACCGTCACAGCAATTATCAGGAGGGTTGTCTTAGAGGAAAGTAAAGGTGATGTTCCTGTTGATCAACCTTTAAAAGCACTTACAAGAGATTTAGTAACTCTCCCTTCTCCAGTTACGTGCTTTATCTAGCCAACTCATTCTTAAAATTGATCTTTAGCTAATTTATTTACATTTGCACAATAAAAACCAATATAACTTCAGATCCTCCTTCAAAACAAAATTGATTCACCACAAAGAAGTAGTGAAGAGTTTCGAAATTATATTTGTGTGTGTGCATGTATGTGCATGAGGCCTACGTGTAGTTTTCAGGTTAGTGTTGGGTCAGTGGTTAACGTCCATGAGTGCTGAGTGTCAAGGAAAAACTCTTTGGTTACAAATACAACAGCTCTTTAGTTTCGAAGGATGCTTGCATGTCTTGGTGTGGTTATCAGTCCTTGAGAGTGTTAAGTAAAGATGTTCTTTTGATATGACATTACAGATTTCTGGGGGGGAAACTTAACCTCTTTTCTTTTTCATTTATGTGGTCAAGAGTAGTAGCTTACCAAAAAGAGTAGAATAAGAAAGAAAAAAGAGTGCCAGGACTCAAAACTTGATTGCTATGGTAAGCTATAACCCCCTAGTCTCTTAGAATTCACTTTTTGAAAGCTAAAACAAACATAAAATTCACATTGATCACCAGCAGTTTTTCTCAGTTACCGCCTGTGGTTCATAAAGACAGATAAAGGCAATTTTATGGAAAGTCTCTTTGATTTGTGTGGCTTCTATGCATTTAAGTTAGCAAATCTCAACAAGAAGTGATTCTATGGCCCACGGGTCTTTTACCAAAGTGTGGAGACATTTTTGATTGTTATGATTGAGGAGGGCTGTTGACATCTAATGGTTAGAAACTAAAGATGCTGCTACAATTCACACTAAAGTCTGTTACAACACAGAATCATCCATCCCCAAATGTCAATAGTCTTTAGGCTGAGCAACTCTAAAGAGTTAGTTTAAGTTTGTGAAACATTCTTCTGTACCATATGCAGAAGAGATGAAATAAAATAGAACACCAATAATTACTTACCAATTTAAAAGTATATAGGCTTCATTGGAAGTCAGATATAATTACCCATCTGTATTGATATGAAAGTGAAGAGAGAAAAATATGTGACACTCCCCAGGCTTTCTGATAGTGATGAGCTAGGCCCATTGCTATCAGTCTTTTTCTTCAATTGCTGTGCTTTGGAAAAATTATGCACTGACACTGTCAAAACTTGTAAAAGCTAAATTGGTTGTGAAGTTCTTTGGGAAACTTTAGTTTTCATGAATGTGTTGAAAACGTTGTCAGTGATCAATAATAGACAACAAGGTATTAGCAGACATGAAAATAGTAAGGGGAGGAAGTTTTTATAATGGGCCAATGTTTTCTTCATCTGTAACTGCTCACCATACATTTTATTTCTTTGGGTTGAATATCCACTCACTAAAGACGGCATGTGGATTGTGGAAAATATGCTTACTGGATTCACACGGGGTGTCACTCTCTGTTTTCAAGAATACAGTAATGTAGGCACGCAACCTGGCCGTAGAACTTACTACGATATATGCATAAGCTATTTCACTAGGACACAAAATACATACATGATTTCAAATAATTTGACATTTCTCTTTTGGTTTAGCATGCCAGCATCACAACTGATAGAATAAATATCAGATCATTCTCTTCCTGTTGCATACAAGGGAAACTAAGGACAAAAGAATTTAAATTATTCATTTATTTGTTTATTTATGCATGCATTCAGAAAATATTTGTTGAATGCATGGCAAGCACATATCATTGTAATGAACGATATAATATATTAGAGAATCATATTTGGAATAAAGAGTTTGAATTTAGATCCCTGAAATCCTAGACTAATTTATTTTTGTATGTAGTTCTGATCAACATTCTAGAGTAATATACTAAATATTGTTATAAATAATGTATATTAAGGACTTAATATAATGTGCCCAAAACCTCCAAGTACTTTACATGCCTTATCTCATTTAATCCTATAATAGCCCAATGAAATAGGCCTTGTCACTATTGTCTTTCTTACAGATGAGGTCGTGAGGCTCAGAAACAGAGAGGAGCAAAAACTCATAGCTCACAGCAGGAGAGCTGATTTTCATTTGATGTGCTGAACTCCAAAGGCTGATGGCTCACCTATCTCATTTTATAACCTGTGCTCTTGCTTCTCCGGATTTTATTTCTTATCTCTTGTACTCTAAACAAAAGGTGGCCAGGATGATCCTAGCCCACATGTTTTCTGAATGTCATTGGTTATTTTAAGTATACAACTAGACATGGATCTCTCAAGAAGACAAAAGAGGGACAGATTTGGAAGGGTGAGTTTTCCTGCCATGGATTTTACCTTATGCCAGAAACGTTATATGGAGCCATAAAGTTACAGAACAAATACATGGTAAATTCTGTTCCATTATGAAGTGGCAGACTAGGTTCCATCCAGGAAGATTCTACCTGTAATTGCTGCATTCAGGTCACCAGGGCAAGTTTCACAAGTAAGATAGTTGTATGAGCATGGACATGTGTGTTCATAATACATGTATTTACGTATCTTCTAGTTTTGCTTTTTGACTTTAAAACAGTTTTCTTGAATTATTATTTATTTGAGTCAGCTCAGAAATCCCAAAGAATCATGTGCCCTATTTCACTGCTCTAGAGTGAGGAAAAGAGAAGCAACTGCAGAAAATAAACTGCACTGACATGGAGGGAGAGTGCACGTGTATGTGTGTCTGTTGTGTTTGTGTATAAAACTACATATATATGTATATATGTGTTTACATCTATCTAATGTATATATATATATATATAAATATATATCTATACATATGTATACACACATGAAACTCATAGTTTGAAACTTTGGAATTTTGAGTTTGGGAAAATTATTACAATTTATATTTGGTTTCCTAGTCTACAACACTTTTGATTTCCAAAATTTTCTTCCACTATGAATGTATATATATATTTGTGGTACAGAGAATATTATTGAAATATCTAAATTTAACATCATTAAATACAAAAGTACATTTAAAGGAACGTCAAACTCATAAAACTGGCTTTCTTATTAAACTATTTGTTGGAATTTCAAACTATGTGTTTTCAAACTTTTTCATTCCAAAACAAAAAATTTAAAAATCTATCAAATGAACAGTGATAATGCTTAGGAACAAAGAAAAAGGAAATCTAGGTATACAATAGCACAAAACCAGTGATTATTTTGCTAATGATAAACATTGGATAATTTATTGTTATTTTCTACTTGTTTTTACTTTTAGCATTTATGGTGGTCTCTGTGGCCTACACAATTTATAGGTGGAGCTAATTGTTTAATTATTTGAAACTATAGCAGATAATTTATAATATGCATATTGTAAATAGATACTAAAGCTCAAAGGCACATTGTAAAAATAACCAAACACTCTCTAGTCTCATGCAAGCAAAATTTTCAGCCTGTTTATACAAATACCAAAATAGTTGCTCAAACAAGGAAAAATGTACAGTCAAATTAAATATAATGTTATTTATTTTGGCATTCTATAAACACGACAACCAAATAATTGAATTTTGGGCACTCCTACAAATATAGTAAGTTGCGGTCTCATGTGTAGCCATGGGCTTTGCCTACTATTGGAAAAAATGAAAAATGTTTAAGTCAACCTATGCAAACAGTTTCCCTGGTGCTCCTTGTAATCCATTTGTATACCTACATGCATACCCCTTCAGAAACTTACAGTTCTCAGCCCAGGGTTCAGCTGATGTACCAAGCACAGATTCCTCTAACACCCAAAGTACTTGTAAGTGAATTGAATATGGTCATTTTTTCTTTCTCATAGGATCCTTAAGATGTGGTCTTAAAGACAGTAGAAAAAAAGCACATTTTTTAGTAGTTAAATATTCTAATTAGATTTAAGGATACTTAAAGAAGTGATTTTGCTCCAGTATTTTGGAACAAAAGGTTTTATGTCATCCTGGCTTCAAATTCCCTTACCATTTTCATTGTTTATTTTTAATTTCAAAGGATAATGTTGAATCAGAAGAATTTTTCTTAAAACAGTCTGCCTAAGGTATTTTTTTAATCATGAAGACTGGGGAAGTGGGAGTCCAAAACTGTGCTAAGAAAAACAGATTCATGAATTGCTGAAAATATATACTTTATAAAATATATACTAAAGATGCACAGAAATATCAGTATAGGGAAGTTGCGTTCAGAGTCACACTGAAAGTTGTTAATCAGATCTGTGTTATGTGGGTCACTCCTAAGGTTGGGCATAGTGTTCAGCTTAGTCTGTAAAAATAAAGAAAATTTGTGTTGGCTGAAGGAACTTAAATAAAAATCTTAGTTGAATTCTTGTCTCTTACATCTTTTGTAACTAGAAAAATACCTTGTAGAACTTAATACACAAAATAAATTTTCCAAATCAAATTGACATGTTTAAATAATATTAACAACCCTTGGCATTTAAAAAATTAAGAACCCTGCTTATTAAATTACCTGGACATCTACAAATATATTTTACCAGGGATTTTCAAGTTCATTTTACTATCTGTCTCTGATGCTTTGAATGTGACACCAGCACAGACAGAGACGTCTGAATTCTGCTGGAACTAACCCTGAATGGCAATGTATTAGGGCCTTGCTCATGTTAATTTTTTCTGACCTCATTCAAGCACTTGATAACTTGGGTCAGTTTCTTGCACATTGATGTATATCAAGTGACACCTATTGAAATTACCTCTTCTCTTTGCCAATGCAGTTTGCTTGTACATAAGTGTAATGTTAAATTGTTTACAGTTCTTTTTGTGTGCAATTGTGATAGCAGATTTAGCTCAAACTTTTAAAGGAATCTGTTTACTGAATGGTGTTAAAATGGATGTGCTTATTACAGTATAAACATCATTAATTATGGACTCACATGAATGCATGTCTACATGTTGTCAATTTCCAGCAGCTTGGTTATTCAGCAAAAGTCTGCAGTCTGTGAATAGCAAATATACATAAACTACTGTGATTCTAATAACTCAGTAACTGTTTTATCTTGCTATATAACATATAGAGCTCAGCCTGCTGTATTTCTTTCTTACCTTTTTTTTTTTTTGCAAGAGAAACATGCTAAAAAATAGTAATATCAATGTCCCAGTGAAACCGCACACCATTTTGGCAATCATTGGTCCACTCAAAAGGCAACAGCCTATCAATGGAATAACAGACCTGAGCAACATATAAATATATACATACAAATCTATGTATGCGATATCTACAATGCTAATTGCTACCATTGATTCTCACTGCCAATGGAAACAAAAAACTACTGTTTTCTTTGAAATCACTGATGCTATTAAATGCTTTCATATTCTGTTTATTTCTTATAGTATGGTAGATGATACAGGTGCAGTATCAGTATTGTAAAACTGTGTGGTGAAAACTACAAAAGTCATTCTGTGGATATATTTTAAAAGGCCGAACAGAAACTATATTTCAGATTATTGTGTGAATATAATTACAGAAATAGGTAACTATTTTTTATGTGTTTCCATAAATGACTCCATTTCATATACATTGTAATTTAGCACCAATCATAATAAATCATTTGGTAACATTTAGTTGTTATATATATTTTCAGTAAATATGAGGATGATGATTCAACATTTATTTCATGCTATTTCAAGAATTTTACATAAAAGATTACTGTTGCAATTAGCTTATTGCTTGTTTGGTGTGGCAACTTGCTGATTTGGGGTACAAAAAAGGAGAAGACTGAAAAACTCGATTATTTAATATATTTGAAATGAAATTGCAATGGTTGAATGCCCTTTCCCTGCCTCTCGTTAAATAGATGGCTTTGCACTATTTATTTATTTATTATTTATCAAATCTATTTATAGAGGCTTGTTTCCTCATCTGTAAATTAGAGATAAAAAATAATACATCATAAGACCTATTAAGTCTTAGGTTTAAAGATAATCAAGAGAAGTTAGATAACCCAAGCAAAGCGTTTCTCAGTGTCTAACACATTAAACAAATGCTTAATAATGCCTATCCTCATTACTATCACTCAAATATTCAAATGTTAGTGTTTGGCTTTAATACTTTAAATATCTGAATATATATTTCCTCTTTAGCATTTTCTAGTATTTCCTGTAGAGCTAAATACTTGTTATGCTTTTTAACCAGAAAAAGAGATTATGGAGAGAAAAAAAAATCCTTGAACTTGGAGGAATTAAAGAAATAATTTAGCCTTTAGCTAATGTGAAGTGTATTCATCAGAACTCTTCTTCTCATGATGTGCACTCAAAATATGGAAGGACCTGGACAGTGTATAGTTTGAGAAATATAATGCTTTTATACAAACCATTTTATAATTTTAAAGTGCTCTTCATCATAGTTAAAGCCCTAGAAGTCTTGCAGAAAAGAAGCTTGCAAACTTCATTTACAAAGAATTTCCCAGACTTCTCTCACCAAGCACGCTTACAATTTGGGAACATACATTTTGAGAAGTGCTGATTCAGCCAATCCCTAACTGTTACAGGGAATAAAACCTGAGACCCAGAAAGGGAAGTATAGATAAAAGGTGTGGAGGTTCTGAATTTGTAACCCATCGATAAAATTAGCCAAGGATACTCCTAAATTATTCTCATGTAAATGTCAAGTAAGAATAATGAAGTTGTTCTGAAAACTTTTTCTACAGTTGTAGCATCTGTCTTTCTCAGACCCAGAGTAGAGTCAGATGAGGTACAAAAAGCTGGCAAAAAATGGGGATCAGTGTGCAGTAATCTTACTGAGTCAGTCACTGCTGAGATCACTTAGAGCTGATGGACAGCATCTGCTTTGCCTCCAATGGTAATCTTCAGATACTGTCGTCACTATGGCACAGATACTGAGCCATGCTGAGGGTCAGCCCACTAGAATCATAAGTGCTTACATAGACCAAAATAGTGAAGGTATTTGGAACAGAATTTTCCTATGTAGTCTTATATGGGAAACTATGGGCTTTCTTCTGAAAAGCTTAGAGAGAAAGCACCTGTGCTGGGGAAATGTGAAATTAGTGACTCTAGACACTCCAAAAATTGTTTAGAATTGTAACTTTCTTAGATTCAGTTTACACAGACAAAGCCACTGTTCCCGAAGGGTATAGCCAAATATTTACCTAAGGAGGAAACATTGGATGCAGATAAAACTGACTATACACTTAAAGGAAGAGAAATACCACATAATTTGTCACTGTTTTTCTGCCAAGTGTGGAAGCTATTTTGCCCACAAACCAAGGGTCCTAAGAATACTCTTGAGTTACTGGAGAGATATAGGTGGTGAGAATACAGGGTTACTCTCTTGACTTACCTGGGAGAGTGGATGAAAAAGAGGGCATATGGGGAATTCAGCCAGGAATGTACCGTACTGGTAGTAAATCAGCAGAGTTTCTGCTTGTGCACATTAGAGAGAATTGGGTTGAATATTTCCTCATTCACCTTCGCATTGCAGTTACAAGGAACCAGTGCCTACATATAACCACTGTCCAAAAACTCATTCTTCTGACAGAGTTGAGCAGGACTTGATTGGAAGGATTATAGCTTGTAGAATGAGGTCACTGAAATAGGCAAAAACACCACCTTCTTGGACAATACTTCTCCTCCCCTCCAATTTTAATACAAAGGCAACTTTCTTTTCTATGTCAACAACACACCCAAACCTCCCATCCATCTTGGACCCAGTGGCAGCTGCCAGTGAAACTCAGCATCATAGGTGTTTATCTCAATAAGGGGACAGCAAAATCTCCTGGCCAGGCAGAACAGCAGCATCCTTAAATAAACCAACCTCACCTTGTAAGCTTTAAAAATAACAATGTCTTAGTAGCAAAGGCCCAGAGGGCAGATTTTTCAAATGCTAGAGAGTTCCATGTTTACCCAATGAAGCCATCATGTATTTTGGCAACCACGCCATGAAAGCATCAAGAAAAAAGTCTGGGATGAAATTATGTCTTTGATTTTTCTCTTTGTTCTGACCAAGAGATGGCCTATAGGGATAAGAAGAAAAACACCCTGTGTGCCTTGAAGATGCCTGGTACATTGAGATGGAATTGCTATTCTCTGGGATCAGGCCCAAGTTGACCTGTGCTATCCAAACCTACTTACTTCCTAGTAGATATGAAACAACTTGATATCACTGAGGCCTACAATCACAAAGCCACCTGTGCTTAGTGACACAAAATGTTTCTTCTCTCCATTCCTGTGAGCTCTCTACTTCTATCTGTGCATTTTAGCTTCTTTCTTTTTTTCTTTCCGATTCTTTTTTATAGTTTTCTCTTCTTCCATCTGCAGTACACTTTAATAAAATGCAGCATTGCTTATTTAATCCTCCAATACATAGACACTCTCATCTGTAGGTGTCAGTTTCCTCATCTGATTTGTAAATGAAAATTTGGAAAGAAATTACCTATGCACAATTTTGCTATACTTTGCTTTTTTTAATATGAATTTTTACTCAGGCTCTTATTTGTGAGACGAGGTGGAGTAGGCTAGGTGAGGGGTTTGATGCTTCCCACAAGTTAACCACTTGCGATTTTCTTTCTCTGAGGGGCAAAGGGAAAGTGAGTAGGATGCTGGTCGATTGTAGACTGGAATTACGTTTCTCCAAAGTTATTGTGAATGAGTGTGCTGTCTGAGCTGCACACAGCTCCCGTCTGTGGGAGTGAAGACAACATACAAGTTCTTCTGCTGCTAATTTCTAATGTGAAAAGTGATTGACTCATTTTCTATATATCCAGAGCTCTGGTTTTGTTTTAGCAAGTGCAGCGTGAGTTAATGTCTTATCTTCAACATAGAAAGAAGGGAAGGAATTGAAAAGGGTGGAGAAGCAGCAAATTTATGTAATTGGAAATGAAAAGTGCCTCAAGTAGAGGCAATTGTTCTTTCTCCTTTTGTCCCTAAGAAGAATGATGTTAAGTGCATAAAAATAATAAGCTGTTTTCTTTTTTAAAAAAGAATAAGGAGATGAATGTCCTACTCTCTGCATCTGATATTAACAAACATATACAACTATGAAGAGGGAAAGAGAGATGTAGTAACAATCAAGTCTACATAGCTGAAGCATAAGGGATTTTTTTCCTGCTAAACTAAATGAGTAGCGTGGTCAGTTACATTGATCTACTCTTTAGAGAGCTTCTACCTGCACATCACTTGGGAAAACTCAGAATTTCTGCTCACAGTGGAAAAAAATTCACAGTGTTTTCTGGTACTTAAAGTTTGCCATGAGTATGCTTGTTCATAAATCTAAAGTTTCTGAAAGCTGATGCCAAAGTTTGAGATTTGGAAATAATTGTAGTACACTTCCCATAACAGCCTGTCATGGGTTCATACAGCTACCAAATATCTCACTTTGATATTTCTTATGCTTTGAGGAAATGTTGGAATTATAGGAGATTCAAAGTTAACAAAATTATATAGAAATGCATCTAGGGCAGTTTTTTTTTCTCAGATATTCTGTAGTACTCTTTTATTAATAAGTAAATGTCAATCAGAGACAGAAACATACCAGGGGTGTCTGCTTGCTTGAATACAGAAGATGGATTATTTTCTGTTTTTGACATGCAAGCAATAGAGATACTATCCTCTTAGTTCTAAGATAATGAAAACATTCAAGAAAAAGAGGCTTTCAAAGTATGAAAGGGCCTAGATACAAGGCATTTCATCAAAATTAAAGACAGCACCAGAATAAGTCTCAACAGAAGTTTAGATCTCTGAGGCTATATCTTTTTTAAAAGATGAGGAAAAGAGAAAAACAACAAGAGGCCAAATAATTATATCCCCTAGGTACATGACCTTTTTTACATGGATTCAACTTCATTGACCAACCTCATGAACTTCTCCTTCTCTAGAGCTCTCCCTCCCTCTAACACTCTTCCTACTCTTCTCTGATTGTTTTAACTGAAAATTTCAGAATAATCCTATAAAAGAGGCAGTTTGGAGTCATGATGAAATAGTTTCTGGAAATATAAGGAAAAAGTAGTTCTAGTGTTTTGATTTCCAAAGTCTACCATGTAGGTAAACAGAATAGAGTTGCAGAACCTCAGAACCAATTCCTCACCTACGACCTAATGGATCAGAGTCTGAATTTTAATACATGTAAGTATATCACATGCACATCAAAGTTGGAGACATATCGATCTCAGTCAGTGAAGTATGGCGAAATGAACAGTGATAGCCTCAAAGGCAAGAAGGAGTGCTGAGGAGGAAGGTGTACAAGAAAGGCAGGTTGTTCTCTCTTGTGATATTAGGTAATGTGGAGGTTACTATGTGGGTGTGCAAAGTCCCCTTTTCTAGATAGATTCATATAAGTATGTTTAGTGACAAGAGATGCTGCACCGGGTCTTGTAGAAGACCAGCAAACATCTATATCTGCACCTGCATGGTCAAGAAGTAAATTTCAATGCAGTAGTTTAGTGACATCAGAAATTATAGACAATTCCACACTTATACTAGCTCAATGTATCGTTTTTCAACTTTGCAATGCTGCAAAAGTGATTGAGATTCAATAGAATTTGTTCCTCAAATTTTGAATTTTGATATTGTCTCAAATTAACGGTAGACAGTAATATCCTTTCTA